TCACACCAGTGTTAATGGATTCAGTCCTGCAAACACAAACATGACTGAGAGCAATAGGACCTCTTCCAGAGTGAAGTTACTCACATGCAGAAGTGTCTATATGATTAGTTTGAGAATTTTAAGATTTTTTTTTCCAAATAATGATTCCACAAAAGCGAAACTATTCACAAGAAAGGGTAGGCTTTGAAAAGTTTCTACATTGACCATTTAATTTTTTTTAAAGGGAATGTTTTGACATTTTCTAACGGAAAAAATTCCATTTTCAGGTCAAAAGAACATCTTTACATTTTGAAATTTAAGTTATTTTATATTTTAACAATTAAGAAATAAAATCAATGAACTCGTGAACATTTAGCACTTTGAAGGATTGGGCCCTTAGATTAATACTCTGACTGCACCATTCAAGTCCAATGGAGAACTTTTTTTTTTTAATTTTAACTATCAAGGACAATGAAATAAAGTTGGGGTTTACAAAAAGCAGTCAGTTATGGGTAACATTTTCAAAAGATGCTGAAAGCAGTTGAAAGTCTATGGCACTTAGGTTCTTACAGCACTTTGAGGCGTTTGAAAATTTTACCTTAAATGTATTAGTGCAAGGCTGTTGATCCCTATTCCTAGCTTATTATGTCAAAAACTGTAGCTCTCTCAGTAACACTACAGCTCATTTATTATCCCACATCATAATCAGGAACCTGTAAACAATTTACAAGAAACTGAGTTAGGAATAAAATAAATCACACAGTTCCCTCACTCTGAGGTGACTTCAAAGTAGGAAAACAAATATTCTCTCTTTTTGGGGAGGAGTGACTGAAAAACTCTTTCCTCGAACATATTTAAAGCTTTAAAAAATTAAAGACTCTGTGACGGGGCATACCAGCCCCACATCAAATTAACAGGCTGTGTCTAGACTGTCAAGTTTTTCCGCAAAATCAGCTGCTTTTGCAGAAAAACTTGCCAGCTGTCTACATTGGCCGCTTGAATTTCCGCAAAAGCACAGACTTCCTACTGTAAGAAATCAGTGCTTCTTGCGGAAATACTATTCTGCTCCTGTTCGGGCAAAAGCCCTCTTGCGCAAATCATTTGCGCAAGAGGGCCAGTGTAGACAGCACAGTACTGTTTTGCGCAAAAAAGCCCCGATGGCTAAAATGGCGATCGGGGCTTTTTTGCACAAAAGCGCGTCTAGATTGTCACGGACGCTTTTCTGCAAAAAGTGCTTTGGTGGAAAAGCGTCTGTGCCAATCTAGATGCTCTTTTCCGCAAATGCCTTTAACGGAAAACTTTGCCGTTAAAAGCATTTGCGGAAAATCATGCCAGTCTAGACGTAGCCACAGGGTTTAGCCAGGCTACCCTGTCTGAAGGAGCCCTGATCCTGCAACCCTGCCAGGCATGCTCAGACTACAGCCCAGGTATAAAAGCCTGGGGAGAGGCTCAGTCTGGGCTGACTGCCAGAGGAGAAGGACTTCAGGACAGAGCTCCTGATTAGCAGCAGCCAGCTGCCCAAGAGGAGCGCAGCGGAGGCCCCAGTGCTGCTTGGGATGTAGTCACCGCAGACTACCGGAGACACCAGCTCCCAAGAAGCCAGAGCATCCTGTGACCATGTGGGAAGACGGTCTGTCAGAGCAGGTAGGAAGTGGCCCATGGAGGGTGCAGAAGCAGCCTGTCCCACCCAGAGATCCTTGGTGCATTTCGGTTGGATTCTCCACTGAGGGAGTGATGGACCATTCTGCTACTCACAGGGCCCTGGGCCGGGACCCGATGGAGTAGGGTGGGCTCAGGTCCCCCTACTGGAGTGCAACCCCACCTCCGTGACTTGGCTCAGTGGGCTGTCCAGCCCTGTCTTAAAGGGCCATTGATAGTCTTGAATAGTGACTCTGGCCGCCTGGCCCTGCTTTACAGGACCTTCATGGGACTTTGATTTACTAACTCCGGCCATTGGGCCATCCAGCCCTGCTTAAAGGGACAGTGAGCAACTTTGTTTTATTGCCTCTGGCAATAAGGCCATCCAGCTCTGCGAGGAGGAGCTAGTCTATAGATTGTTTACTGGGTACGTGGGGTGGGCTGTGGACTCAGATGGACATGGGTTCCTGCCCCCTGTGGAGGGGGAAGGAAGGACCACCCTATGACAGACTCTCTGGACAACCGAACAACTTTAATGTTTATGACAGAAATAATAATATAAAATATCATTAATGGAGAGGAGAAATAATTTTTCTACATCGTTATATTACACAGAAAGACAGACCAGAGTTGGTGTAGCTCATTAAAAAGACCAACATGGAGAATAGTGCAAAATGACTTTTAAAAAAAAGAAAATGTTCTTTAGAGATTTATTCTCCATTCACAGGGGCCTGGCCTACATAAGAACCTTAGTCTGAAATTAGCCCCCTAGGTCAAATTTGTAAGTAATGTGTCCACACTACCAAGCCTGTTATTCCAAAATAAGAGGCCATGAATTTGAACTCTGTAATCCTGCTTTTCACAAGGAATAATGTTATTCCAGAACTTGTAAGTCTGAAATAACATTAGTGCAGATGCTCTGGTGTCACTAATTAACCTCCTGCAGGCCTCCCACAGCTCCCCAGAGTGCTTCCTGGGGCTCTAAGTCCAAGGTAGCATGTCCACATTAACGGAGCCTGTCTCAGACTACATTCGATTCTTACTCATAGTGAGGACATGAAACTTTGAATTTGTAAAATTGGGTGACCAGAAGTCAAACGTAGTAAATTCAAAATAATCTCCTAGTGTAGACATGGCCTGATCGACTAGCAGGTGACTTGTAGGACTAGGAATGGAACCACATATGTTAGGGGTTATGTAATTGTGGTCAAGTACAATTAGGTACCAGTGTGAGTGGAAATTGGGCAGACTAAAATCCTCACAAATATTAAATTCTGGGTTCTACTGTGTCTGGCTTCACTGGGTCAAGAAGGCATGAGCAAACTCTCCCACCAGCTCCACATACCCCATGCAAAGTCTGCATCCTAAATCCCAGCCTTTGCCCTCAGGGAGTGCTGTACAGCTATTTCAGAAGTTTTATCTCCTCTTGTGGCTTTTGGATTAAAGGAAGCAGGGCTTTGGCATCAGTCCCCTCCATAAATATCAGTAGTACTGCTGGTCTTGTTCAGAAGATAATGGCTGATGACCTTTTCAAAGAGTAGCATAGAAACTGCATTCGAAGGGCACATCTATACATCAGAGTTATTTCAAAATAACAAAGTTAGCATCTACACAGCAAGCCTGTTATTTCAAAAAATTTTTGAAATAAAGGGCTTCTTGTTTCAAAATCTGTAGCCCTCATTTTGAGGAATAACACCTATTTTGAAATAGCTATTTCCAAATAGAGTATATGTACATAAATAGGGCAGCTGGAGTTAGTTTGAAATTAATGGCCTCCAGGCCTTCCCACTGGTGTCCTGCTGACCACACTGGCCACACTCATCAGAGCTCTGTAGATCCCCTTCCCCTGCAGTCCTTAAAGTTACAGTCATAGGGGAAAGGGCTTGTGGCACAACACAGGCCCTTGTGCCACATAGCAGCAGCCTTCACACCTTTTGCTGCTGCCATGAGCAACCCCCGTGCTCCATCTGAACCCTCCCCGGCTGCAGTGGAGCAGGCAGTCGGTTCTCAGGACCCTGCCTGCGGGTGAAAGAGGCATGTGCCTTCCTGGTCCGGTGCAGAGATCCTGGACCTCACTGAGGTCTGGGGACAGGAGGCAAACCTCCAGGTTCTCCATACCAGAGGCAGGATGCCAACATCTATGGCTGGAGGGCTGACAGCCTGGGCCCCAGGAACAGGTGCATATGAAGATCAAGAAGCTCAGGCAGGCCAATGCCAAGGCCAGAGAGCACAACTCCCTCTCTGGGGTGGCACCACAGACCTGCCCTTATTACGACCAACTCTACCGCATCCTGTGGGGGTGGGGGAGGGAATCAGTCCTTCCCCCTTCCTCCCCACCCTCGTTGTGGATCCTGAGGTGGAGACTCCCATCATTGCCCTCGGGGGCAGAGCCGGTGTGGAAGAAAAGATCTGGATGAGGCCAGCACTACCTTGATGCCTGCCACACAGACATCACCCTGGAACCAGTACCCCCCTCCCAGGATGTCTCCCAGGCTTTTTCCAGAGCTGGGGAAGGCCCATCAGGTGAATAACATTACTTTCCCTAGATACACACGAGTGGAGGCCGTGAGCAATGAGGGGCTGCTGTGTGCTTCTCGGTCGGCCTTCTTGGCCTGGAAATCACACAGCAGCCTGTGCATGTGGAGTGCCAGTCTGGGGCGCACAGCCCCAGGAGGCTGCAACAGAGGACCCTGATGCTCTGGCTCACACTGTCTAGAGAGGCCTGCCTTACTCCCAACACTGGGGTGGGACACCCTCCCATCACAAGCCACCACTAGAAGGAGGCTGGGGACATAGAGACACACATGCACAAACACACACACAGCAGTGCCACACACAGGCATGCCTGCACCCTTAGGGCATCATCCACTCCCAGGGACAGTGCAGTGAGGCGAAGAACACTAAGTCCCTGCCAAGGGAGCCTGTTGGGAGGGGAAAGAAATGGAAGGGACCTCAGGAGCACCCTCTTTGCTAAGTGATATCTGCCGCTCACACCCAGTTCCCCCCAACACCCTGTTCTCCTCCCCTCCAGTGGCCAGACATACAAGTCCTCTCTCTGTGCGGGACACCACCACTGCTGGACCTGGTGTGTGGACAGCACAGAGGGAAACTGAGCTGCCCTATCACCCCCTTCCCACCCACAGGCTCCTGGTCTGGAAGGCACCTTCACATGCTTGCTTGTCCATGTGGTGTGGGGATAGTGAGGTTCCCCCTTGGGATATCTGTGTCCCTGCAGGAAAGGGATGGCTGTCCAGGCCTCAGGTGGCCTTGCTGGAAGCACCTCACCTTCATCTGACTGGAGTCCTTTCGGTATTGGCTCAGATGAGGGCTTGGCTTCATGCACAGATTCTCCTGGGATAACTGCCCTTCTTTGTTCTCCACAGATGGACCAGCTCTGAGTAGGACGTGAGCACATCTCCTGTGCCATCCTCCTGATCCCGTGTGACCCGCAGGTGAAGGCGAGCCCAGGAAGTCCTGCAATGGGAGCACATTGCCTGCCTGCATGCTCTGCAGCGCTTCCCAGACAAGCAGGACCACAGACTGGTGGCGGACCTGTAGCTTTGCCAAAAAAAGTGGCAGGAGCTGCTGCAGGCTTTCCCTGCCACTCTCTGGCCACTCCTGCTCTTACCCCCTACTTTCTTCCCCTAGCCCTCCTCCCCCACGGCCACTGAGGGCCCCGCAGAAGAGGTGGTGGGACCACCCGAGGCAGGTGCCACTCTCAGACCCAGCCCGAGCCCCTCCTCCCACTTCCACTTCCACTCTCCTTCCCAGGTTCTTCCCCAGTCCCTCCCCAGTTACATTTACCCCAATTAAACAAAACCAGTTTATTCTTTCAAAACTAAATGTGTGGTTTGTTGTGTCTGCAGGGGAGAGGTAGGAAGGGAAAGGTGGGGGAGGAAAGGCACACTGGGCCACTGCAAAGGCCCCTTGTAGGGAGGCCCAGGGGAGAGTCTCACAGCTAGCCCTGGCTGCACCTCTTCCTCAGGGACACCTGGATGTGCATAGCCCCCTGATGGGCCTGCCTGATGGCCGGCATGCATAACTGCTCGAAGGCCCCGGTGAGCCACTTGGCCTCTGGCCCCCACCCTGGCAGGAATGTCTCCCCCTTGTGTTCACAAAGGTTGTGGAGGACTCAGCACGCAGCACCATTTCAGGGACATTCCAGTTGCGAAGGTCCAGCTGGGTGAGGAGGCAACAGAACCTCCCTTTCAGATAACCAAAGGCACCCTCCACAGCAATGCAGGCCCTGCTGAGCCTGCCATTGATCCGTTCCTTACTTTGATCAAGGTGTATGGCTTCATTTAGCCAGCGTAGAAGAGGAGAGGCTGCATCCCCTACAATGTCATCCCCTACCCTGCAGTCAGGGAAAAGAGTGCCCACGTGCAGCTTCTGAAACAGGCTGGAGTTTTGGAAGTTTTGGGTGTTGTGTACCTTCCCCAACCACCCAACACTGATGTCCGTGAACTGGCCATGGTGGTCCATGAGGGCCTGCAGGACCATTGAAAAGTATCCCTTGTGGTTGATGTATTCGGATTCCCAGTGGTTGGAGACCTGGATGGGGATGTGGTTGCTGTCAGTAATCCCCCTGCAGTTGGGGAAGCCCATGTCAGTAAAGCTGATGACAGTGGAGTCCACGTCACCCGGATTGATGACCCTGCACAGCAGGATGGTGTTGATGGCCCTCACCACCTGTAGAAAGAGACAGAGAATCACAGGTTTTCCAGAGCCATTGGGAGGTCCCTGAACCCAATGTCCTCCCTCCCACACACATGCCAGGAGCAACCCCTATTTACTCCATCCCCTGGCAAGACTGAAAGATTTCCCCAGGAGGGGGCTTCCACTACCATCACCACCCCCCTTTCCTAGGGAACCCCATTCCAGCAAATCACCGCTTCCCTGGGACAATAGCATGAGAGTAATAACTGCATGAGCATGGCACCAATGGGCGATCTCTCCACGCCAAACTGATTTCTGATGGATTGATAGTTGTCCGGCGTGGTGAACTTCCAGATAGCGATGGCTGTCTGCTTCTGGAGGGGGAAGGCGCGTTGCATTTGCGTGTCCTGTTGCGTTTGGGCAGGGGCCATCCACTCACACAGCTCCAGGAAGGTGGCCTTCCACATGCAGAAATTCTGGAGGCACTGCTGGTTGTCCCACCGCTCCATGACAATTCAGTCCTACCAGTCAGAGCTAGTGCCCAGACGCCAGAAGCGGCAGTACACGGTGTGCAAGGGAGGGTGGGTAAGGTCGAGCTGCATGAGCAGCACATGGAGAAAGAAGAGGAGGTGCCCTGTAATGAGCTGGGAGACCTCCTCCTGCAGGGCCATGAGGACAACCTGTAGAAACTGCAACAGGAGGTGCAGCATGAGACGTAAGAGCTGGCTACTGCTCGGAGGCAGGTCAGGAGTGCTGTAGTGTTCTCAAAGGCAGCTAGAGTAAACAGTGAAAAGGCTTTGCTGTCCCTCAAGGAGATAGGCAAAGGAGAAGAGCCTGAGGAATGACTGTACAGGGGGGACCCTTTGAGCACAAGCCTCAGACAGCCGCTAGGGGAAGTTACTGCTGTACTGATGCCCTGCCTGAAATGCTTCTGGGTGGCCTTAAATGCGATTCAGCATCCATTGAGTGTGGACGTTCAGTGTTATTTCAATGGGCATTTGCTGTGTAAACCCAGTATTTCACAATATACATTTTGAAATAGCTTATTCTGAAATAAGTATGCAGTGTAGACGTACCCTAAGGCACGTGTGTGAACATAGTGCTCCCCAGAATTTCCTCAACAGGAACTCCTCTGCATTCATCATATTATCTCCTCTGATCTCACCATTGGAGACGAAGGCAAGTGTAAGCCAGGACTTCAGGCAGGATTTCTGCCCAGTACCTAGTGCAGTGAGTCAAACTCGGTGCTGGGCTGACTTGGCCATGTATGTACACAGGGCCCTGTTAATACCTTCAGTGTCAGTAAGATGCAAATTATCAATTGGTGCTCAGGAAAAAGCTATTGTTTCATCTTCTTTATTATACATATTAATTATTGATGGCCAGCTAACAGTTGAAGAGTGGGGTGCACAAGAGGATGTGGGGAGAGAGTGGGGGCACCCTCCTCTGGTAATAGCTCCTGGGAGGCAGAGGTCTCTGGGCACTGCTGCCCACCTGCTGCCACTACACACTCCTCCCCTGTGCATTTCCCCAGTCCTTCCTGCTGCAACTGGGCAATTTCAGTTGCCTCAGGGGCTCTCCGTGATTCAGCACCAGCAGTGTAGTTGAATTAGGGTGGCTTCCTGCTGCCCATTCCCTATGGCTGCCAGCATGTGCATCCCTATAGTCTGGTGTGTGTGTTTCCATGCCATGGGCTGTTCCATCCATGTATAGAATAAAACCCAGTGCCCTAACCCTTCTCTGAGACCTACCCCTCTCCCCCATTGTCTCTATTGCCCCCTCAGCTTCCATTGGTCACTGTTCCTAGCCAATGGGAGCTGTGGATCTGGCACTGGGGATTAGCTCACAGAGCCTGCCATTCTCTGGCCTCCCCAGTTCTTAGGGGCTGCAGGACCTAGTGGCTGTTTCTGGAAGCAGGACAAACCAGGGGAGGTAGGGAGCCTGCCGTAGCCCCAGGCCCCTGACGAGACTTTCAACAGTCTGGATCATTGTGCCAACTGGACCCACCTGCTTCCCTTTTCAACTGGGCATTCTGATTAAAAATAATCAACACCTGGTAACCCTACAGAGTAGTGAAAAAACTAAGATTACGTAACAGATCTGGGCCATTAAATTATGTGTCTATCCCTATAAAGACTGGATGGGTGGGTCAATGAATGGGAGAATGAGGCTTTTACTTATAAGTCATCATTCCAAATCCAGCCCTCTTCAGAAATGAATTAAAGTTATTCTCATTGGTGAAAGATAGGAGGTGAACAGAGCTGTACAAAGTGTTCATTTAAAATCATGCCCATCGTGACTGCTTTAGTTACAATCTGAGCCCAGTTTGCTAAAAATTGCATGAACATAGGCCTAGTTTAGGATTTGCCTGGGTTTTCACATGAATCTGGGCCTGTTTGCTTTTCAGTTTGATGGGCTGATTGAACTGGAAAGTCAAGGTGAAACTCCACATGCATGAGCCAATGTTCCCTCTAATCTTTTCAAGCCATCTGCGGGCTTTTTTCTTTCCATGTGCAGCTAAGTTATGTGCACTGTGATATATGCAAATGTGCACCACCAATAGAAACAAAAAACCTAGCTGTGTGCACTCTGTTAATCAGCTGAGTGATATTTGAATCTCTTCTGAGCAGTAACACAAGCACACACCTTACAGGAAACACAGGTTTGAGCCTGTTGAACTGAAACCAAAACTGAAAGCTTGCATGGAACAATGCTTTTCAGTCCTTAAACCTGCCTTTGAAACATGTAAAAAGTGATCAAAATGTGTCATTGCATATTGCACCACAATTCAAAGATTACATTAAAACTTGGCTTACACAGTGAGAAGACAGCCTTCAAACAAGTGAGACAGTTTTGGAATGCATACCAAGTTAATTGCAACACATTGTGTGGGGCAGCTGTTTACAAATGGCAAACCTGAATGACTGGATTAAAGGAGAGAATGCCATCTTAAACCACATTTCAGACAAATTAATGTTTATGGCATGATGCACAAAGAAATACACTTGTTTCACTTTGAGGTCATTGAGAGGTCCTACTAGGAGAGAGGTTCCTGTTATGCCGGTGTCTCTTTGGGCACCAGAGTAAGAAAATCTGGAGTGATGGGGGAGTAGAGACCTTGCTGTAACTGGCTCCAAAGTCAATTTGTACAGCTACATATACTACTCATGTCAACCCAGTGACATTCTGTTAATTCCATCTGCCCTGTCCCACATTATTGCTACCTTCTTTCCTTCCACCACCAAATTAAAAGAGCCCCAATGCTTATTTTGGGACTGGTGCAATTGTTGCACTGCATATCACAGCCTGTAGACCTTCAATCTGCTGCTCCTCCTCAGGGAGACGATGGAGAAGTTGGTCCAGTTTTTCACAGAATCAGATCTGGAAGGAACCTCCAGAGGCCATCAAGTCCAGTCCCTGAAAGGTGTTTGTCTAATCTGCTCTTAAATATCTCCAATTATGGAAATTCCACAACTTCTCTAGGCAATTTATTCTAGTGTTTAACCACCCTTGCAGTTAGGGAATTTTTCTTAATGTCCAATCTAAACCTAGTATGTTGCAATTTAAGCCCATTGCTTCTTGTCCTATCATCAGAGATTAAGGAGAATAATTTTTCTCCCTCCTTGTAACAACCTTTTAGGTACATGGAAGCTGTTATATCCCCACACAGACTTCTCTTTTCCAGGCTAAAACACAGTTCTTTCAATCTTCCCTCATAGGTCATGTTTTCCATTTTTTTTCTTTTCTATGGACATTCTCCAATTTGTACTCATCTTTCCTGAAATGTGGTGCCCAGAATCGGACACAGCACTACAGTTGAGATCTAATCAGCACAGAGGAGAGCAGAAAAACTACTTCTTGTGTCTTGCTTACAAAACTTCTGCTAGTACATTCCAG